GATTATACTGCCCTCTTACGGTCATAATGCATGCAGCAAAATTCTAACATTCAAGATGCTTGGAATAACTTCACAGTCATTAAAACTAAAAGAAGTTAGTTTTATCAATATTAACTAGGTTGACAACTGCCTATTTAGCACTTACTTGAGGAATCCCAGGGACTAATTTGCAACTTCTTGCATAGGATCTATCTATCCATTGGTGCAATTGTGAGAAAAACTACCTTGCAGGGGTGAGTTCTAAATTTTTTACTACCGGTTCTGTGGGCATGGCTTATTTTGTGGGCGTGGCTTGATGGTCATATGACAATTATTTAGGATTTAGCAGAGGTACTGGTCTACCAGGCTTTTAACTGCTTGCAGAGCTGTACCGATCTACCCATTTATTTTTGCATGCACTGATCTACTCATATATTTTTGCAGGCACCGGTCTACTCATTTGTTTTCTTTTAACGCTAATCAGCTGTAGGGCGGCCCATTGAAGCCCCGCGGCAAGAGTTTAAACAGGTTTTTTTTCCCTCTAGCCATCAGCTGGGACTCAGGAGGCAGCAATAGATTGGGGGTGGGGCCAAATAAAAGCTACAAATAACGCAGGGGGTGGGGGTGGCAGAGGGCGGAGGGCGGAGGGTCCAGAACTGGTTCGGTGACATCATATCATCACCGCTACCGGCTCGGCGGAACCTGGCCAAACCGGGAGGAAGCCACCATGGTTGCAGTTTCATCACAGAATAACATTCTATGGTAGATGAACTGGAAGTGAAAGCTGATTATAAATTGGTTATGGAAAATCTTATTCAACTATTCCTACCGATTTTATTAAATTGCCCATCTTGTTACAAGGCGACTCATTCCTATTGATCTGTGCATTTATATTCTGCCTGTTCTCTTGCAACTCAAAACAGCAAATATAATCTTTTCTCTCATCCCCCCCCACTCAATAATTCAGAGATGGTTGACTGAAGTCTAAAAGATGATTGATTCAAAATTACTCATATACCATATGGCTGACAGTAGACGCAAACATCCTGTAGAATAGATCATACCTATGGTTAAAAGGTAGGCATTTCGTTTAAACAAAATGTTAAGTGTTGCCCCCTCATTCCCAAGTCCTGCTCTGCTGCCTCATTGTGGCAGGAGTGTATTCTTGGGAGGAAAGTGTGAAGAGCACCAGGAGGGTATGCCCAGAGCAGGGGTCAGCAACCTGCAGCTCTGGAGCTGCATGTGGCTCTTTCATCCCTCTGCTGCGGCTTCCTGTCACTCAAAATATGTGTCACAACCGCCAATGTGCAACACCCGCCGGCACACAATTTATTGAGATTTTCAACCCCCAGTAGACCAACCATGGATAAATCCAAAAATGTTTCAGAAGAAAACAGAATGTTTAATTCAATTACATATGCTAGTTTTGTAGCCACTCAAGAAATAGTCAGGCATGGGAAGGGTTTTGTGGCTCCGGTGTTTTCTTTTCTGTGGGAAACGGGTCCAAATGGCTCTTTGAGTGTTTAAGGTTGCAGACCCCTGGCCCAGAGTATATATTCTTGGCAAGTCTATCCCAAGTGTGAAGGTCATTCCACTATCCATATAAAGCAAGAAGGTGCCTATTTTGAACAACAGTGATATAGGAAGATGTTGGAAGCATATTATCACTTTAGCGTCAGTGATGAGGGTATCAATTAATACTGTGCAAGAGAAGGCAATGATAAACCACTCCTGTAGTTTTACTAAGAAAACCACATGGATAGAAAACATAACTGATGATATAGGGTTAGATGATGGGCCCCTTGGGTTGGGTGGCACTGAACATGCTACTGAGGAAGAGCTGAGGATCTTTTGAAGTACTCATGATGTTTATTTGGGATGTCTATTTATTTGCTGATGTCGCCATGCAGGGAAAGAAATCTGAATTGTAAAGCCAGAATTAGAGTAAGATCATGGAACATAAGCAGGATAAATACGGAAAAGCTCAACACAATGAGTGATGAAATGAAATGATTAGGCATCAGCAAATCGGGATGGACTGGACTAGACACTTTCAGTCAGCTATTCACACTGTTTCATTATCACATGAAAATCAAATTTAAAAAATATTCAAATGCTATGATGGGTTCATACCTATAAAAATCAGAATTGTACAAGACATGGTATGCCCTGTGACTCTCTATAGAAACTAGAGTTGTACTTTGAGGAAGCAGAATAGGAAGAGTATTGATAATTTGGTGTTGCAGAAGACTCTTAAGAATTCTATAGACAGTTAAAAAACACATACACAAACAAATAGATAACTAAACACATCAATCCAGTGTTCTCACTTGAGGCACAAGTGAGCCTCAAATTCTCCTATTATCCTACTTTGGGCACTTCATGTCTCCCATCTGGAGATGGGAATGTAATCCTGAGAAAGGTGGAAGGAAAGAGAAGACAACCCACAGCAAGGTGTATGGATTCAGTTACAGCGATGGTTGGGACACTACTGGAAGAGCTGAAGGACCAAGATAGGGGTAGATCATCATGGATAAAATTTATATGCGTTTGTTAAGAGTCGACAATGACTTATGGCACATATTCAATCAGGTGGTAGAATTTGTCTATGCATAAATTTAGCAACTATAAATGTATTAATCATTGTGGTCTGCTTCAGGGTTCAATTGCACACACTCAAACAGGGTTGTTATGGAGATTAGCAATTTTACTTCAAGGCTGAAAAGATAACAGCAAATAAATAATAAACAAAACCGAAGCTTGCCTGAAGAGTTTGACTTTAATAGGAGCATACAGACAAATGGTCCAAATCCACTGTACGGTTCCAAGATCCAGGTTAGGTTTGTCAGCCTGTCCAGATTCAAGTTTTCTTAGATAAACAGTGGGACATCATGCAACAGCCAGAGATCAGATGTTGTCTCCAGCAAAGGGAACATGGATCAGAGCTGTTTCTTAAATCAGGTTGAAATCAACTGTCATCAATCAAGAGATTTGTTTCCTTGCTGGGCAAGAAGCCTCATAGAATGACTCTGTTTTGCTCTCTCTTCTCCAGGTGGGGGGGCTGCGAAGCTACATCGTTATTTGACTGGTCTAGTTATCCAGGTGGTACCTGTGTTATTTGTCATCCGATTCTTGGCTTGACGTCTCCTGAGGCTGACATACCACAGGTTTAGTTGAACAGATTCTTCAGATTCAGAATCTGAGTCCTGAGCTTGGGTCTCAATGACACACTGGTTATTTCCAGTGCTTTGAATAATAGCATTTAAACACTGTTTTATCATCTGTGCGACATGATATAGACATTTTTATTATTGAGGAATTCATAAAATGGCCACTTCCTGACTGAATTGATCATATATAGCTGGGGCACAGGGGCAAATAGATTGCTCAAGAAAGGTAATTTGTATTGTGTGAAGACAGTCATTAACTTAATTTAGAAGCCACTCAAGGCGATATCAATTCCTGTTCTCCTCTCACTTTATGGCAAGTAGCTAGCTACAGTAGCCCTCGACTTTAAGACACAATTGAGCCCAAAATTATTATTGCTAAGTGAGGCATTTTAAGTGAGTTTTGCCCCATTTTACAACCTTGCTTGCCACAGTTAACTGAATCACTGCAGTTGTTAAGTAACATAATGGTTAAATGAATTTGGCTTCCCCATTGATTTTGCTTGTCAGAAATTTGCATAAGATGATCACATGACCCTGGATGTTACAACCATCATAAATATGAACCAGCTGCCAATCATCCAAATTTTGATCATGTGACCACAGGGATGCTACACCAGTTTAAGTGTGAAAAATGGTCATAAGTCACTTTTTTCAGTGTCATTGTAACTTCGATCACTAAATGAATGGTTGTATGTTGGGGATCACCTGTAGTCCAAAGGAATGAATGCTTCTCCATCACCCAGTGAATTTAATCAAAGATTTTATATTCCTCATCTTCTGTTGCCAGTCAAATGAAATAATAGTAACTGCTTTAGGTAATAATTAAGCTATAGTTCTGTTATAAAACTGAGATGATTACACTTTTATCTGATTTATTATACACTATCTCATCTGTTTTCACTACTATGATACTATTAAAGAGAGTGTAAGTTTGGTGTAATGGTTAAGGCATCAGGCTAGAAACCAGGAGACTTTCTCTTAGTTCTCTCTTGGGCATGAAGCCAACTGTGGCTAGGCTAATCACTCTCAGCCCTGGGAAACAGGCAATGGCAAATTGTTTCTGAAAAACTTACCCGAGAAAATAGTAGGGACTTGTCCAGGCAGTCTCTAAAAATATTTTGTGATTGAAAGGAAGGAGGAAAAAAAGGATTAAACTTTTTTTAAAAGTAAATATTGAACTTGTCTTTGGTTGATGTAGTTATGTAAAACAGATTCAGCAAAGATACTATATATTTTTATACTGTATACAAAAGGTGAAATATGTTTGCGCTATTATGTACTGTATATTCTTACAGAGCTCTATTGCTGGTTGCAATACAATTTAGATCTCTACCATAGTCCAAAGTTCCAATCACAACACTGCTTTGGAATCCTACTACTAGTATCAGGTTCAATAAACTAGGGACTAATACATTGTCTGAAGTATTAGTCCCTAGTTTATTGAACCTGATACTAGTAGTAGGATTCCAAAGCAGTGTTGTGATTGGAACTTTGGACTATGGTGAGAAGAACGTCAACCCAGTAACAGTCTGTCAATGAGGCAGACTACCATTGCCTCCATTTATATCGTCAAATTACTGGGTTCTTTTCTACCCACTAACAAAGCAATAATGCAGGAATTTAATAATTCATTCAAAATATCAAAGCTCTGCTAATTACTAAAGTGTAATTTGAAATAAGCAGTTTGGAATTCGTTCTGCTTAATCTATCACATGGATGATGCAGATAAGATTAACTAAAGTTCATATTAATCATGATAAGAGTATGTATAATTTGTCTTAATGGCTCTGGCTCTAGAGTTCTTAGTTTTGTCTTGTACAGTTATTCAAAATCAATAGAAAGTAATGCAACTGATTGTTGAACTCATCATTTATTAGAAATTCAGGCATTTATAGTTTTTCCCAACAGTAAAAGATTTAACTATTATACATAGTGGAAGGAAGGATGCAAGCTATACATCTTGGAGAAAAGAACTCTACAGTTGCACTATAAGTTTACCAGATTGCTTCAGGATACACTGTTATAGTTTACAATTAAAATCAAGGTTCACCCAAAACATTTGCCTTAAGGATCAAGACTAGCCATGAAGATCCACAAGAATGAATGAGGAATAAAGAAAGTTCATTTTTTCATGGTAAGATTGTGCTATTATAAGTCAAAAGAGAATAAAACACATTTGTCAATGTGTTGTTTAATTTTTTTAATATTCAGCAGGACAAAGCAGAGAGAATGAAGGCAATGTAATAAATGGCGATTTCTATATAAACCTCTGCTTGAAAAATGTACAAAAAAAATCAACGGCAGAAAAAAACTATTGCTAAACATTTAATAACTACTTAATTGAAAATTGTGAGTTTAAGGCATGAGCCCTTTCCCTTATCAAAATTTTAAAAATTTAACACCGAATTAAGTGATGAATAAATGAAATTGGATAAATTATGTAAAAGGATTACCCTGCATCATTGAAAGAGAAAAAAATCATGCACGTAGAGCATGTTAGGTAGCACAAATGAAGGAACATAGATATATTATGCTTTCATAGCACCCTTTAAATCTGGTAGCACTGAAAGGCTTCTTTTGTGAGCAGCTATCTATCCCTCATCTTAATGTACAGGGTGAAGTGACAGTAGTGTGCTATTCACAACACTTTCCCTTAGAACAACATCTTTATCAAAATGCTTTCTTTAATAATATCAAGAGTTTCCATTTTATTTACATTAGGATTTATCAACACAAGATAAAGTGCTAAGTTCCCAGTCTCTCCCTCCCTACCCTCAATATTGTATTTGGCTAATTTACATATTATAAAATTTGAATACTGCTTCATAAATGTCTCTGAAACAAGTCACCAGCTGCTTTGTTTCTTGAATACAACTTGCTCTTTTTATTCTTTTATCAAAGTATGAAAAATACTCTTGCCCTGGACTTTGGCTTTAAGATGTTTTCCTGACCCTTGCAGGAAATTTTTATTGGCAAATCTGTCAGGTGGCAAATTTACAGCATTCTGTAAGAACACTGAGGCCTCTTTTTTTCAACCATAATTTATGGCATTAGGTGCAAGAGAAAACATTAAATTTAATGTAGGAATCTGATATGTAACATTTATATTACAGAACCACACTTGGAAGCTAAACCATCAGACTGAGACACCTCCAAAACACTCCAACTGCACCTTGCACCAGGAATTCATAAAAATGTTGTTCTAGTACTAATTGTCATTGCACTTCCCCTTCCCTTTGCTCTTTCCTTCATTCAAGGGATGAACAAAATTTCTTGTGCTATTACTACTATCATTACAACTACAACTAATGCACAGAGGACAACCATCTTTGATGAAGTTAACATCATTCTAGAAGATGTGCCATATTAAACTCTTCGGCTCTGATGCAAAGCCCATTTAACAAGTATAAATCTTCTCCTAGCTTTCAGTGGGTTTGAAGGCCTTTGGTTTTGAGTAAGCTTTATTCAGTACTGCTAAAGTCAGCAATATTATCTACAACTACTAGACAATATGGGAAGTCACTCCCAGGCCAAGATTTATTATTTAATAGCTTAAATCCAATGTAAAATTGATATTTAACAAGAGTCAATAAAATACCACCCACCAGTTTCTATGAATAAACATGCCAATCTGACTCTTTTTTCACATATACTATTAATGTTAGATACTGTTTTAGGATTCAAATCCTCTGAAGCTCAAAATGATGATCAAGGTTTTATTAAAACCACTAGGAATTTGAAAGTTTCCTTAAATGGCATGTAGCATAATTTGCCATTATTTTGAACTGCATGATGGTGTTTTTGGTGATGCAATACTAGATGTTCAAGAATCACAGGCAACTCCCTGACTACACATACACACCAGTGGTGGGTTGCAACCGGTTCGCCCCGATTTGGGCAAACCGGTAGCAGCAACGGCGGGAGGTTCTGCCCACCTGGCCGGACATAATCAAATATGCTCTGCGCATGCGCAGAAGCTTCTGCACATGTGCAGAAGTGGTGCACGTGCATGTGAAGCAAGCGTGCACATGTGAGTGAACCGGTAGCAAAGGTAAGTGAAACCCACCCGACAAACACACACACACACAATTGTATGTTTTTAAAATTAGCATCTAATACTAAATGTCATGAAAAACTAACCACCCTTTCCTTGTGCCAAGACATTTGTACAATTCTTGGTCTAGCTGAGAGTAAGGCAAATAAAGATATATCTAAAACACACATCTCAAGGATTCTAAGTTATTCTTCACATCTTACATGAAAGTCCTCAATTTCCTCATATAATCTTTTGTTTTTATAAAGTATGACAGCAAACCTGTCATACTTTCCTTAATCTGATCTCCAAAGCAACTATTGAACAGATTGCTTGGTTAACAGCTAGTTGTTGCAATTTTTTGTAGTAATTTAGTTGCTGAAACTTTATTTGCATTACAAGTCCTAACAATATAAAATTAAAAGGTTTACCTTTTTGATCTAGAAGGTGGTCATAGGATGCCAATCTCTATTGAGAAATTATGTCATGGTCATTGTATTTCTAATGTGAATATTGAAGTTACAAATATTCAAAAAAAATTGTTACACATTCAGTTATAAAAACCATTTAGCATATTTGATTTCTGGTTTAGCCTTTTAGTGAAGGAAGCAGTGGGACTTGGTGAACTTTAAGATGCAAAGCAGCACTCTGAAATATTTTAGTTGTTTTCATTATATATCCATGTCTTTTTAAATCTAAAATGTGGATTAAAGGACATATCGTATGATGAAACAGAAGTAGATGAAAATATCAACTTTTAAAGTGGCATTCAGTTAATTGGAGGATTATAAATTGGTGATCTATTTGCAACAAAAATAAAAAATGGCTATATAAATGTACTTTTGCATTTGCTGAGATGTGCATTCTAGGTTTTCACATCATTAAATTTTGGGAAAAAAACTACCAAAACTTTGTCTCTTAGCATCTTATAGAACACATTTGATCTTTATTTGGAATTTTTAAAGAAAATGTTTTTAAACATTTTTAAACATTTTTTAAAATGTTTTTTAGGACAGCAGGAAAGTACTAAGATTTCCTTAATTCAATATTAATACTAAATGTAATGTGAAAACTGCTAATGTAGTATAGTTCTATGCCTTACTTTAGACAACTGCTGAATAATGTCAAACTTATCCAGAACGTTTACTATATAAGGTACAGGACATTTTAAAATGTATTTATGTCTTTCGGCATTGCAAAATGTGGCAGTTAGAGACCAAAAAGATGTTAAACTCCAAGCAGATTAAGACTTATAGGAAGAACTATTTAGACTATAATGTCACCTTCCCCACATAAATAAATGAAGAACAAACTTTGTGCGTGCACACTGATTATCGGGTTCTGGACTGTGGGCGCAGACAGAGAGAACCTTATAGTTACTCTGCATTTTAAAACATGATACCTAGAACAAATAAATGGCCCAACATGGCATTTGTTCTCACTACCAAAATGAAAATAAATTGAAGCCACTGCCAACTTTATTCATTATTACTGTAAAGTGTTTGCTTTGTAGCCTCATCAGAACTAGACTGAGATTACAATTACTTAAAAAGAGCTCATAGCAACTTGAAATTATTTTTAGCTTCAGTGTCTGTGTGTGTGTCCAACCAATGTATCCAATGAATCTATCCATCTATCTATCTATCTATCTATCTATCTATCTATCTATCTATCTATCTATCTATCTATCTATCTAACTATCTATCTTCTCAGGTATATATATCTCCAACCTTAAAAAAATCAGGAAATAGCATGAATCTGTGGCAAAAGCTCTCTATTCAAGTTTGTTTGAAAAACAGAAATATTGAAATATTTAACATATTAGAATTTGTGTAGTCATGACATTCTAATAAATATTAATAAATGGGCCAATTTCTGTTTCAATATAAAAACTGACCATATATGCAAAAATGCTAGGATTAGAAATGTTTAGCACCCATGAAAATCTGAGATATTTAGTTTCAAAACAAGTAATTTTATGTGGTTTAAATCAGAATTTAGAAGTTTTACCTGGTCTGTGCCTTTAAATACTATGTGAGTATGATATGATTCTATTCAAGAATGCCAAACTCATGCATGGTTTATGTTACAATCTGCAACATAAGTCAATTTCTTAAAGTCATTGCTTTGGGCATCTTGAGTTTCTTTTGATCTTTCCTTCAGGTTAAAGACCATGCTTTGAAACTACAGAGGTTTTCATACACATTCTGAAATTAAGTATTATAATATGCGAATCAAACTTTGCTTCGTTTTCTTATGTATATTTTAATTTACAAAAAAAAATCTTAATTTTTTTTAAAAAGTATTTATAATACACCTGATGCTTTTTTAAATATTACACTTGTCTGAGTCCATAGTCTACCTAACTTTCATTCCAGTTTACTGCTTTCTGTTTTCTGATCCAATCTGCTCTTGTTGCTTTTTACCATGTAGATAAAGTAAGCAAGAGTTTCTTTTTCATTCACTGGGATGTTCCTGAAGTGACGACTGACAGTCTGAAAAAAAACAAATAATTTTTAAAAATAAAAATATTTTCCTAGCAGAAGGAAAATACATGTGAAAATCATAAAGTTTTCAATGACTTACTTCTGCCAACTGAGCTTTATTGAGACCAGGTCTGGTTTGTAATTTGTAATGTCTTTTGTAACGGCGCAAAGTGTTTACTTGAAGCTGAAATAAGTCAACCTAAAAAAAGTGGCACAATGAAAATATATATATTTAGTTTGACAACTGAAAAGAGTTAAACCTCTACAATGCATTGCATTTTAATAGCAAAAAGCTTCTTTACAATGTATATAAAGTTGCACATGTTAATCTTTTTCCAGGGTTATATGATAGGATAGCTATGTGACCCCAGGAGGACAATGCAGGTGTTTTAAGAAATTGCAGGGGCAACTTTAGTGACGTAATGTGCTTCAAAACACCTTTTCTTCAAAAGCACTGCATTCCTAAAAAACTATACAGCAAAAGCAAGATATGGCAAACTGTTTCCTTGAAATTCTTAAACACTTATTTGTATTAGGAAATGTGTAGATGATTACATGTATATAACATATAACATGTTTTCATAATACAACTGTTTTTGTTAAGTTTTTCTTCAGAATTTTGAATGTTACAAACTTAGAGAATGAAAGCAGGCATTTGTACAATATGTTAATACCTCAAAAGATTGTAGAACTGAACATTGGGAGAAAAGGACTATCAGATTAAGTGATTTGTAACATTAAAAAAGCAAAGAAAGAGGACTTGCTAGAGGTACACAATGTAGAGTGAAAGATAGATGCTGACTAGTGAGAGATTCAGGACAAATAAAAGTAAGGATTTGCTCAAACTCTACATGTTTATTCAAGATATAGTAATGATCACCGATGTGATAACATAGAGTTCCTTTATAAGGGAAGATAGAAATTAGCAGAAAGCTGCTGTGGCTGTTCTTGAGCTGATAACCAGTGGAAAGTTAAAGCAATTCAGAGACAGTATCAAGACAGTTTTAATCTGCTGTATCCAAAATTGCTCCATTTTCTAGGTGTCTTAATTCAGGCCTGAATTGTGACCAAAAATTGTGAGCCCTTCTGAATTCATGATTTACATTATTCACAGGTTTGTGATATGGAAAAAAGATATAGCAATAGCACTTAGACTTATATATTGCTTCACAGTGCTTTCCAGTCCTCTCTAAGCAGTTTACAGAGTCAGCATATTGCCCCCAACAACCTGGGTCCTCATTTATCCAACTTTGGAAGGATGGAAGGCCTTGAGCCTGGTGGGATTCGAATTGCCAAACTGCAGGCAGCTGGCAGTCAGGAGAAGTAGCCTGCAGTATTGCACTCTAACTACTGCAGCTCATATACTGCCCCAATGATTTATAAGCTTAAAATTGTATGAAATCAGAAAGTTCTGAGCACTAATGATTAGAGTACAATCGTAATAAATAAATATTATGCTACTTTTAGGAAGTGTAATTAAATTTACAAAAATATAAATATAATCTGAAAAGTAAATCTCAATTTTATTAAGTAATTCACCTCTGGAACATCTATTTCATGCTCTGGAGAGTCTCCCCCATCATCACTGGTTTTCCTTTTTCTTTTATTTCGGACACTTTGAATGAAGTTCTTGTGGAAATCACATATATATAAGTGTCTTACCTAAAATTAAACAAGAAAAATATAAATAGCACAATGCTTACAATAGTAAAAACAATGATAAAAAGGAAATCTGAGAACTTTTAGTTATACAAATTTGAGCTCTTTTTGAAAAATGGTTTTTATCTGTTCATTTAAGAGCCATTGCACATCAAAAAGGTATGACAGAAGAAGGGCTACTTTCTTTTTCAATTTTGATTCATTGTGTGGCAGATGACTTCATTTCACTAGAATACCAGCCCAAATTAAGTCTTTTTGCTCATCTGCTTTTTTCAAGTCTGACAGTGAAGAGGCTGTTTTAAAAACCAGACTTACTGGGGTAGTAAGTAAATATGTTTAAAACTAAAATTGTGGGCTACAATGTAAAACTCAACATTGAACAGCTGAATTTAGTTTTTAATTGCAAATTAAAGTCTTTCTTGTGGGGTTCATGGGTGTCTTGTAGGTCTGTGTGCACAAATAATATATCTTGACATAAAAATGGAAGTGCCATGAAAGCCAGTTGAATGACTTTGGGCCAGTTACACTTTCTCAGCCCAACTAGAGGAGGAGTTGTTGTGGTGGGGAAAATAGGAGGAGGAAGATGTGTTGGATATGTTTACTGCCTTGAGTTATTTGTAAAAAAATGAAGGCTGGATACAAATAAATAAGCAAAAATATTTTTCTGCCCTTATGTAATGATATTCTTACAAGTAAGAAAGAGAAGAAAAGTACATGATGACATTACAAAACACATTTTTTCATTTTCTTTTAATCTCAGCTTGCTGTGGACAAGCTGCTAATAATCATGAAATCCCTTAAAATCAATTTTTCAAATTAAAACAATCAAGTGTGTTAGAATTTAATAGAGTTAACAAGCCCCCCCCACCCCCAAAACCTAATGAGGAACTATTATGAAAGAAATTTAGGGAGACATGAAAAAGTTGGGGATGACAATATTGCTATTCAGTACCGAACTGTGACAAATTCCAATTATTATTAGCTCTAGGCTTGGATACTTCCTATAAACTGTCAAGAGCTGTTGGATTAAGTTGGGATATAAGTTAATAAATAAGCCAACACTCCCCAGGGATCATTGTCCATTGATAAAGGAATCGGATTGCTCCTGATTTATGCTATCTATTTCTCTTACACACACACACACACACACACACACACACACACACACACACACACACACACACACCACATAATACACATTTAGTAGACAACCTGTGACCCCTTGGCACATCATTTCACAGATACTACCTTCCAGATTCCTTGATGTGTTCAACAATGGCAGAGCTTCTTATATAACTGAACAATTCTTTAAAATTCAGGGAGACATTCAGAGATATATCTGCCTTGAAAGTAACCCATGTTGAGCTATATAGCGCAGTCAAGCATTAGGCATTGACTACAGCATATGCTTTATGACATGTTGTAATATGTCATAAAATGCTTTATGATAATTTTAGGTCATAAAATGCTTTATAAAATTTGTCAAATTTCAATTCCACAGGAATCATGGCTCATGAATGCATTCTATAAATTAGTTCATTTGAAGTATCTTGGTACAAGCATTTTGACCTATGATAAACTGTTTCACCCAATCACAGACACTAAAGTTTTAATAATATATATTTACGAATTTGGCAGAATATTGCAGAATTATAAAATGGTAGTTGTTGTATGCATGAAAGGGATTGAATGATGCAGCAGAAACCTCTAGTCACAAAACCTATTTCTGGAGCCTTACAGTTAGTATACTAATGAAATGTATCTAATGGAGTGAGTACTAGCTTAATTAAAATAACTCATTTAGTAGACAATTAACTAGGACTATTTTGGATATATATCTCTTCAGAAAACTAGCCCACAGTTAACTTTTTCTATTATTGCTTTCATATTTTTTTGGCAGTAATTGTGCTGAAAGAAATGAAATCATTAAAGTTTATTCTTCTCATTATATTTGATTCCGGTTAAAGGCGTTAACTATAGACTAACCTAATAGGTAACATAAACAGTCTTACTAGATATCCACTTATACTTTATGGATTTTTTATGTGGTGTGAAGGGGAAACTGCCTGGAAGTAATCTCACTGCAAGTTTTAATTTAGAATGTTTAAGTAAAGTACATTAAGAGACCTAGAAAATATTCCTTCTCTTCCTTTAATTTCTCAATGAAGACAGGTTTAATTTGGATTATGCTTTATAGACAAATCCTAATATATAATCTGGATGAATACAAACAATCGTTACTACCATGTATAAGTTAAAAATGCCCAATGTGGCAGATGGCACAGTAACAATTGGTTGGCAGCACATTAATTTGTTTGATTCCAGCCAAGAAACATGCTTGCTACTTTCAATTTGACCGCAGTTTACTGCTGGAGATTTGACAGTTTTTAAGTGAATTATTTCAAGACTACTAACAATATAATACACCAATTAAGATGTCAAAAGGGACTTTGGTTTTAGTCTACCCTTAGACACAGAAGCACATCTGTGCATTACCCTGAAAATGAAAATACACATCTAATAAATAAAAAAACATTCTGAACTCTTTAGCTGGACATTTTATTGGTTAACTTACAAATATGTATATTAAATTCTTTATTAATATTAGCACCTGTAATATGAGATAACAGATACATCACTATATGGCTACTGATTACAAAGCTAACATTTTTTCTATTCTTAAATTACAAGTCATAAATAACTGGTCTCTAAAATACTTCTAGTATATTTTTATAGATGATATCAGCATTCTCCCCCCCAAAAAACAGAATTGGGTACAGCTTTTCTTCTTCTAGCTATTTACTAGAAACATGCCTTTCCCAATCATACTTTAAGTACAGTTCAACAACAGCTACAATCCATGTACTTTTTCCCCAACAATATGAAGCTTCTATTTCCTTTTCCCCACCAAGTCTTTTTACCATTATGCAACCCTACAATTTCCAGGTAGTCTCCCATCCAAATATTTATCATTCCCAGTCCTGCTTAGCTTTATTTAAACCAGCTAGATGCTGCCACCTGCTGCGGCTTTGTGCTATTTTTGTCACTTCAGTCCTGAATGAAAAAGAGATTAACTTTGATACTATTGCTATTACGTTTATATGTAAGACAATTATTTCACTCTGTAAAACAAATAACACCATTCTCTAAAAATATAATAGGATTTTAATGGTGGTTCCGTTTTAGGCACATCGCTATATACACTGGCTTCTTTACTAGGATCATAAACCAACATACTTTCATTTTAATGCTGCATCATTCAGATTGTTCCTATCACGTTTTCCCGGCATAGGAAAATATTGCTTTGCTGACGCAGGGAATTCACAACAGCCCAGTAGAATTCGATAAAAAAAAATGCTGCTCTAAAATTTTAGAGCCATGTAGTACAGCATGGCCACTATTATAACAACAGAAGAGACACGTTCGGTGCACAATTGCAGACAAGAGAGAGAAACGTGCAGTGGTAAAGCTTCTGCGGATGCCACTTACACTTTTGTCAATATCCAGTTTCAGCTTTTTCTGAGAGATGCTCTTTTGGATCCTCTTGCTGAAGGAGGCATTGCCAGCCGGGCGGACACAACGATCCCCGTCGTCGATGAGGCAACAACTTTGTCCGTAAAAAGGGGTGGTAGGAGGACCATCCCGGCTATCTTCCTCTGTGCTGAAACCATTCATCGCAGCCTCCCGCCGGCCTCGGTCGACGAAAGACAAACTTCGCCAGCCCTTTGCGCTCGCCAACCTCCGCCCTTCCCTCTCCGCCCGGCCTATCCCACCCTGGACTCGGCGGGCTTTTAAGGAAACATCTGGAGGGTCGCCGTCAAAGCAACGCTAACTTCGCCCGCCGCCTCCACCGGGCGGCTTTCCCAGGGGCCCCCGAGGAGCCCCTCACGCCGCCATCCCGCCCAGGGGCCCCCGGAAGCGGTCCTTCGGGGTGGCGGCTTCCCTCGCCTCCCCGAGGAATCGCTTTCCCGCTTCAGCCCGCGGACGCGCTCCGCCTGCCCCGAAACGGTGGGGACCCCAGCCTCGCAAGCAACCCTTCCGAGAGGCGGCGAAAGCAAAGAGGGTCCTTCTTCTCGCCTCCTCACGGCCTCCCGACCCCCCCACCGTCGCCTGGCAGCCGGCCGAGGACCGCGTCCCTTCGGCTGCCTAGGTCACAGCCCCCGGAGCCGGCAGCCCGGTACGGGTGGCTGTGCCCAGCTGCCGGCCCCTTCCGCGGAGCTCGTCAGGCGGACGCGACCCGTCGCTCCTGAGCCGCCGGAGAGGCCACCAGGCCACGGAGCCCACCGCCCGCACCCACTCGCTCCCTCGCCCGCCTCGCTCGTCTCTTTCCCACTCCCTCAAACACAAAACCTGCCCGCTCCGCCTCTTTCGCCTCCAAGCGGAAGTCCCGTCCCCGGGCAGCCAGTGGTTAGTACAGGTCGAGAGGCGGAGCTTGGGCTCCCGCTCAGACCAGGTATTGGCTGAGGCAGCTGCTCGTTGCCGATAGGCTCCTTCCTGCGCGAGGGGAGGCAAGCCGGAGAGCGTTTTGAAGTCCGTGCTCAGGAACGGGCTGGGAGAGCGGAGTGGGAGTTCGGAGGAGGCGGACGGGCAACTCCTGAGCTTCGGAGCCAACTTCTGCAGCGACACCCGAGAGGCCGTTAGCGAGAGGGCGGGGCGGGGGAGGGTGAGCGTTCGAAAACCAGCGGCTCTCGTGCACCTCAAAGGCGGAACTGCCTTGAGGCGCTCGGGCAACGCCGTTGAAGTGGACTTTTGACCAGGAGTGCTTTGGATCCTGCTCGGACCGCCTTTCGTGTCTGGTTGCTGCAAACTAATAGAGCGTCCCCTCCGGATGATTCGGAGCGCAGCGCTACCCGTGAAGAGGCAGCGGCGAGATACGGAGAAGAAAAAGAAAAGAAACTGGGAAACCAATAGGGTAGCAGAGGTCTTTAAACTTGGCAGCTTTAAGACTTGTGAACTTCAACTCCCAGAATTCTCCAGCGAGCTATGCTATGCTATGCTGGCTGGAGAATTCTGGGAGTTGAAGTCCACGAGTCTTAAAGCTGCCAAGTTTGAAGACCTCTGGGGTAGAGGGAACTTCGTGCACCGCGGCATGGACCGCCCCAGAGAACTAGGGTAAAATGAAGGCCGGGAGCTGCCTGTATCCCATAGAGACTCCATTGCAAAAGGCAGTGGACATCCAGGTCGCAGCTCCTACGGATTTTTGAGGCTAAGATCCAGTGATACAAATTCTTGTATGACTATCATTAAGTGTTGTACCTTATGATTCTTGACGAATGTATTTTTTCTTTTATGTACACTGAGAGCGTATGCACCAAAAAGAAATTCCTTGTGTGTCCAATCACACTTGGCCAATAAAGAATTCTATTCTATTGTGAGAAACAAACTGGGAAGCAGGTGGATCTCTGGAAGTCCCAAAGATGCTTTTTCAATAGGCAACTGGATTTTCTGATTTTTCTTTGAAGACAGTTTCGCTTCTCATCCAAGAAACTGCTTCAGCTCTGACTGAATCTCTAAACCTCCAGCTGTCTCAAGGAATATAAATTCTTCCATTCCCCTCCATCCAATTAGAGCTGAAGCAGCTCCTTGGATGAGAAGTGAAATAGAATAGAATAGAATTCTTTTATTGGCCAAGTGTGATTAGACACACAAGGAATTTGTCTTGGTGCATACGCTCTCGGTGTACATAAAAGAAAAGATAGATTCATCAAGAATCATAAGGTACAACACTTAATGATAAACATAGGGAAACAGTCAATATAAATATTACGGATACCAGCAACAAGGTTACAGTCATACAGTCATAAGTGGGAGGAGATGGGTGATAGGAACGATGAGAAGATTAATAGTAATGCAGACTTAGTAACTAGTTTGAAAACGTCTTCAAAGAAAAAAACGAAGTCCAGTTGCTGCTTGAAAAAGCGCCTTTGGGACAACCATGACCTGGATGACTGAGAATCTCCATAGATCTCTGGAAGTTTTTACCTTACAATTATTCGGCCCTGAGTACTTTAGAGGTGTAGGCGTGTGGGTCCACATTGCATAAACTGGGTTAGTCTATTGAAGATGTGTCTAGAACTCATGACTGTGGAGCCATAAAAGGGTTAATTATGCTGCTCCTGGGTTGAATAGCTGATTATTAACAGATTGCAGTGATGCTTGGGCAATTTTGTTGAATATGTTTTTGTCAGCAATACATCTGCTCTGGCTGCCACACACTATGTACAAGGCTTCAAGTGTGGCTCCAAGGTCACTCTTCATAGAATACAATACTTACAAATGAACAATTAATAGATCATCAGAGTTCTCATCCCCCCTTGTATATAAATAATGAAAATGCACTTTGCTTTACTTTTGGAGCCAAAAGTAACTTAAATCTTGTTTTATGTTCTTAAGAGGCTTTTAACTGAAACTTTACAGAATTCTACAGAATTTTTTTTTTTGTTCATGATTTTTAGTTATATTCCATGTTTCTTTCTGCTGAAAAAATCTGTTAAGGTAGAAAACTATATAACATATTTATCTTTAAGCAAGGAATGTGCAATCAGTGGCCCATGAGCTTCATGCAGCACTGGATAGCAATGAGGCCAGGGGTGAAATCCAGCAGGTTTTGACAGGTTCTGGAGAACCGGTAGTGGAAATTTTGAGCAGTTTGCAGAACCAGTAGTGGAAATTTTGAGCAGTTTGCAGAACCAGTAGTGGAAATTTTGAGCAGTTTGCAGAACTGGTAGCAGAAATTTTGAGTAGTTCGGAGAACCGGCAAATACCACCTCTGGCTGGCCCCAGAGTGGGGTGGGAATGGAGATTTTGCAATATCCTTCCCCCAGGAGTGGGGAGGGAATGGGGATTTTGCAGTATCCTTCCCCTGGAGTGGGGTGGGAATGGAGACTTTGCAGTATCCTTCCCCTGCCATGCCCATCAAGCCATACCACGCCCACCAAGCCATGCCCACAGAACCGGTAGTAAAAAAAATTGGATTTCACCACTGAATGAGGCCCACAATATTGTAACAGTATTTATTTGTACCTGAGTTTAATATTTTTACAAATAACTCAAGGCACTGAACATACCCAACATACCTTCCTCCTCTCATTTTCCCCACAACAACCCTGTGAGGTAGGTTGGACTGAGAGAGAGTGACTGGCCCAAAGTCACCAGCTGGTTTTCATGGCTAAAACTTTACCATTCATGGTCTGTTGTTTCTAGCCTGGTACCTTAATCACTAGACCAAACTGGCTCTCACTTTTTATCACATATAATAATATACCTATATATAACACATATAACCCATAAATTATCACATTATTATACATTTTATATGCAGCCCAAAATAATTCTTGTTTTTTATGGCGGCAAAGCTAGCAGATATTCATCTGGAAAAGCCCTCTATGTATTGCCTATAATCCTGCTACATATGTATCTTGGCTACCTCTGACTTCCACATGAAGTTGCCTTCATCTTTCAGCACATGTATGAGGCAGCCTTAGGTCATCCTTTGCTGTTCCACCTAAGTTTGTCCTCTTAAGATAACAGCAGGCCAGATCCTTTCAAAATGTGTAAAATTAGATGGAACAGTTTGGTACCCTTTAGCCATTCCAAACTGGTGAGCATTCCCTGTCTCTTTGAGACCCTGAGCACTGTCTTCTGCCATCTTTCTATGCCATTCCTTCCAGCAAAGAAAGCTGCATACAGCTATTCAAAAGCCTACAGCTTTATCAGATATTTGGTGAATTTGAAGTTTTTGAATGGGTTCAGGAGTTGTGCTTTTTACCTTGTCAAATGCAACAAGCAAGAAAACTAGATCATCCATGTCAAAACACTACACCTTTCTTGGCCCCATATGTGCTGCCTTCCCACATTATTGTCCTGACTTTATAAAAGTGGACCCAGCAGTGTTACATTATTTAGACTTGCGTTATTGAGATAGAGATGAGTGAGTTTGTTTTGCAAAACACCCATTGTAGATACCAATCCTTTCCAATCAGAGATGTGCACATAATTGTTCTGTCCCCGTCTCACACACGCACACAAACAGACAGTCGGGGGTTAAATAAAGTGGCAGACAACCAATTCTTTTGATAAGAGGATTGGCAGCAACCCAGTAGCTGCTTGCCAAGTACTTTACTCATAAACAAGATACAGTTCAAGAATTGTCAAGTCCAGTCCGTAATTAAATCCAAGGCAGATAACATTGTTTCCAAAGATGCAATGTGACTCGATAGTAGTTAGTTTTGTCCGTCACAGAGTCTGAATGGCCACCTCACCCCCTTATATCCCCTGTGGGGTGTGGTCCAGTGACTCAGCTTAATCTCTGGCACGCCTCCTTTTCTGTTGCGTGCGCTTGTCTCTGACGCTGGCGTGGATCCAGCTGAGACTTATCTCCTTCACCGTCCGACTGTGAGGAGATATCTGGCTCCTGGCCAATCTCTTCTCCTACGGGAGACACCTGAGGCATTGCCAGAGGAGGGTCCTGGAGAGGGAGGCCTGGCCAACTCCTCTCCTTCATGTTCGGAGCCTTCGCCCTCCGATAAGTCAGCCTCGGGGATCGGACCCACAACAATAATGTGCATGTGCAGGGGGATGTGAAGCACCAGAAAGCCTGCTCATGTCTGTCTCAAAGTATCTTGTTATGTCAGTGTGATCTTGTCATATATTTTCCAGAGCGAATGTTGCACAAGGAAACCCCCTTCCCCCAATATGACAGTCCTTCATAAGGAAACAGTTATAGCATGTGCACCTATGCCTAATTCAAAGCATCTTTTCATCCTTGTTCTTGTATTTCAGGATAGGAATAGATGTTAGGACCCGCTATATTATATAACTGCTGGATTACTATCCAAGGATCCATTTATTGTCCTAATAAGCTTGGAAGTGCTACATTACAGTTTATGATATGAAATATAAAATCACAAGCCAATATAATTATTTTTCATGCATCCATAAGGAATATGACTAAATTAACCACTGATAAGAATGATGCAACATTTGAAAGAAAACAGCCTGAATAGCTTGTTTAAAGAAATGCTGCCATCTTAGTAGTATCCAGACATCTTCACCAAAAGCCGGGCTGTCCTGTTGTATGAAAAAACAATTAGATTAATAATTTAGATAATTGTACCACACCCACCCCACCCCACCCCACATGGAGAGCCAATTTGATTTAGGGATTAAGACACCAAGCTAGAAACCAGGAGACTGTAAATTCTAGTTCTGCCTTGGGCATGAAGCCAACTGGATGACCTTGGGCCAGTCACTTTCTCAGAAAGCAGGCAATGGCAGACCACTTCTGA